ATCCCACACCCGCACCGTCTTGTCACAGCTCCCAGACACCACACGCGTCCCATCAGGGCTAAACCCAACTGATGTGACTTCACGCGTGTGCCCCTCGCACAGTGTCAGCTGCTCGCCCGTCCGCGCATCCCACACCCGCACCGTCTCGTCAAGGCTCCCAGACACCACCCGTGTCCCATCAGGGCTAAACCCAACCGAGTTGACAAACCCCGTGTGCCCCTCGCACTGCGTCAGCTGCTCGCCCGTCTGCGCATCCCACACTCGCACCGTCGCGTCATAGCTCCCAGACACCACACGCGTCCCATCAGGGCTGAACCCAACCGAGAAGACCCAATGTGTGTGCCCGTCGCACTGGGTCAGCTGCTCTCCCGTCCGCGCATCCCACACCCGCACCGTCTTGTCCCAGCTCCCAGACACCACCCGTGTCCCATCGGGGCTAAACCCAACCGAGGTCACACTTTCCGTGTGCCCGTCGCACTGCGTCAGCTGCTCACCCGTCTGCGCATCCCACACACGCACCGTCTTGTCCCAGCTCCCAGACACCACCCGTGTCCCATCGGGGCTAAACCCAACCGAGGTGACACCACTCGTGTGCGCCTCGCACTGCGTCAGCTGCTCACCCGTCCGCGCATCCCACACACGCACCGTCGCGTCAATGCTCCCAGACACCACCCGTGTCCCATCAGGGCTAAAGCCAACCGAGAAGACACGATCCGTGTGCCCCTCGCACTGCGTCAGCTGCTCACCCGTCCGCGCATCCCACACCCGCACCGTCTTGTCCTCGGTCCCAAATGGACTGCCGCTTCCAGACACCACGCGCGTCCCATCAGGGCTGAACCCAACAGAGGTGACCTCACTCGAGTGTCCAGTGATGACCAACTTGCAGGGGCTGCGGGCAAGCACCTTCGGAATGCGCAGGAGGCAGTGATTCGTTCTTGCTGCTCGTGCCAGTGTTCGCTGCGCCTGTGAAGCAAACCAGTGTGATTGCAACGGTATGCCACCAAGAAAACAACCTGCGCCACGTCGCAAGGCATCCTTCTCACTCAGCCTCGGCGCCCAGTGTTCCCCGAAAAGGGAGCCTGTGTCATCAAGCAACTGATACATGTCATTGTCCACACCGAGCAGGGCTGTGGTCAGCTCGGCCAGCTCCTTGATGAGGGGCCGCCCACGTTCGGCAGAATACGCCTGCAGCAATAGCCACTGCGCCATCGCTGCCGTTGCCTCGCGTTCCGTTGGCGCTACACCCGTGCCCTCGAATTGCGCCAGTATGTTCTCGTTCATGGAAAGACGTGGCTGTAAAAGCACATCCCTCCACGCCTCGACGCTCTGCCTGGCACTCGCAGCAACAGCAGCGCTGGCCTCAGTGTCGGTGCCATGCCCTGATTTGCCTGTTGCCTTGTCTGCAAGCGCTCGTGCACACTCGTACAAGTGCATGTGGCCATGCTCCAGCGCGTACTTGGTGACGGGCTCGTCCAGGACGTCACTGCCTGGCTCCAACAGCCCATGCGAGCCGCTCAGAAGCCCTCGGTCCTGCAGCACGCGCAGGCACGCGCGAGCGAGGATGGCGTGGCCTTGCCGCACGTCCACAAAGTGAGCACCAGCTCGCTTCTTGTCCGTGAGGAAGTCGTTGACGGTCTTGTGCAGGGGCTCAATCACGTCGTGCTTGCTGCTGCTGGAGAAGAGGAGCGATAGCGCACTCAGCAGCCGCTTCGTCAGCGCCTTAAGCTGCACCCGGTCACCACCGCACAGCTCATGCAGATCCTCCACGTGCAGTGGCTGGCAGGAAGCCACAATCGCCGCCAGCACGTTGTGCAGGGTGCCTTGCAGTGCTGCCAGCACCTCCTCATCCTCACCCGCCACCACCTCGAGCCGCGCCCGAATGCGGTCCAGCGTCTCCGTGTACGTGCCGTCAACGATACTGCCGCCAGAGCTGGCGAGCAGAGCATCGACACCCGCCGGCCTTAATTGCTGCTTGCTCGACTCGTCCAGCTCCTCCAAGGCGCCGGCAACCAAGGTGGCTACGAGGAATACATCATCCGCTCGATGTGCGACACTGCAGTGCCGCAGCAGCACGAAAGATAGCACGGAAGGTCAGAGGGCGGCACAAGAGCACGGCGCGCGTAAACAAGAATGGAGGGATGGAAGGATGGGCAGCTGGACTTGCTGGAAGGACATGAGATCAAAATGCCGCACACACACAAACGAACACACGCCTCAAGAACATACCTGGCTTGGGTTCTTGCTACTGAGGCTGGCACTGTTGATGTGTACGTGGTTGTTGCTGTGACTGTTGTGAACGTCGTGGCTGTGGTGGTGTTTGCGTGCAGGCTCGATTGCCAGTCTTGAACTCTCTTGTACAGCACATGATTCACACCCAAGTGCTCTTGCAACACGCGCAACAAATGGCGTGGATCGGCGCGTTGATGGAGGTACGGCTGGGTAGATTCTGGGGGACAAGTTGCTTGAAGGGTACGAACGAGCTCCGTTGTCGTGTTTGGTGTGTACGACAGGCCACAAGCAGTGGCCAAGGTTGATATCTCATGCTCAGTCAGAGTGTGGAAAGCGGCAGTGACGTCTGCCAGCGCCGCGTTGGCGTCCGCCGAACCGCGCTCCATATCCTGTTCTTGTGTAGCTTGCTTTTGTGCTGTCGTTGATAGAAAACTGAATCCAGTTGCTCCTTTTTTTTTTTGCGCGACACACAAAAACAAACCAAACAAACCAAACAAACGTTGCTCTCGCACCAAACCAACCAACCATCATCATCATCAGCATCATCACCCCAAGAAGCAACCAACCACACCACGCCGCCGCACACCCACAATCATTGTTCTCTTCCAACCAACCTGCCTGCTCTGCCTTTGTGTGTGTGTGTGACAAGCAACCACTATCGTCAATTTATCTGCTCCAGCCAACCATACACCGCACACACTGCGGCACGTTCACACACTCGCTTGCCACACGGCGTGAACACCACCAAAGGTCACGTTCCACAAGACGTGTGTGTCATCAACGTTGGTGATCATCACGTGAGCTCTGTTTGTGACACACGCGATTCTCGGAACTGGTCAACCACACGCGCCACACCCCATCGATTCAAGCAACCAATCACACGAGGTATGGTGTGTGTGTGTGTGTGTGTGTGTGTGTGTGTGTGTGTGTGTGTGTGTGAGTGTGTGTGTGTGAGTGTGCGTGTGTGTGTGTATTGCCAAACTTGCTTCACCAGAACCCCACACGTGTCCTTCACGCGCACACGGCCATCCCCTCCTCCTCATTCCTTCTTTCTTTTCACACACACGCACACACACACGCACGCACTGTAGAATGGCAACTCAGACCAACGAGGAGGCCCTGAGCCACCTCGAGCAGCCACCGCCACCACCACAAGTTGCTCCTCCTCAACAGCAACAGCACGAGGAACATGAAGAAGAGCTTTCGTTCCACACCATCCTGCAAGGAATACTTGTGCACTTTATGCTTGGCGATCTCGATCGCAACGCTCCATTTGTACGTTGACTATGACTCGATCACCTGTGTGTGCGTGCGTGTGTGTCTGTTTGTGTGTTTGTGTGCGTGGAACAGCAATGCCAAGTCACACAAGCTCGACCGCATCACACGTGCGCCTCACGCTTGTTCCTGGTCTGTCTTCGCTTTCATTCCCTTTTTGCTTCCCGTTTGTAGTTGCAGCAGGTGTCCACCAAGTGCCGCGAACTGCTGGCCAAGGACTACATCGTTGAGGTTTGATCTCCACGCCAACTTTTGCCTTTGCACACACCAGCACGCCTTAATTGTGATGCGTGTCTTTGATCAATCAATGCGCCATATCCAACACCTTGAGCTCACCAACTCCACATGTGATTCGCAGGACCTGGACAACAGCGACGGCCACCTGTGCCCGCATTACCCGCACACCATCTTCTTCCTCGCCGACGATCGCAACAGGTGCACGATGCTGGTGCTGGCTTGTACGGCTTGCGGAAGTTGGCAGGCGTCGTGTGTGGAGACACGCCTTTTCGCTTTGCCTTGTTGACACTCTTCTTGTTCTCACTACGGCGCCCTTGCTGTTCCAACCACAGCAGCAGCGACAGCGACGCCGCCACCACAACAACAACCACCACCAACACCACCGCGAACAACAGCAGCGGCAACATCAACGACGACAACACCAACAGGAGCAACAGCGATGATGAAGAAGAAGGCGACGATGCATCCACGGCTGCCAGCCAGCGCGCCGCGAACCTCAAGAAGCTGCAACGGCTCATCCGCAAGGCCCAATATGCGCGCTGTCGCCGCCGCTTCCCCGTGCCGGTCATTCGCGCCTTCAACAAGGTACACACACACACACAACAAACAACAAACACACACACACACACACACACACACACACACACACACACACACACACACACACACACACACACACACACACACACGCACACACTGCCTTGAGTGTTAGCGCATTGCTCCATATGCATGTTTGCAACACCATCTCCCTGCTGCTCTGCACTGCACTTCACCGCATACACAGCTGTCCCCTCCCTCCCAACCGCATACGCACTGCGGCTGCTTTTACACTTCTCTCTCTCTCTCTCTGTTGCGCTTTCGTTCGGTCGCTGGCGGCCTGGCCATTGTTTTCTTCTTTCCGTTATGCGTCTGTTGCTTCTGTGCTTTGTCCGGTCCCCTTTCCTCTTCAACGCTTCATCCGATTGTGCCGTGCTTTCCATTGGTCGGTTGGTTGGCTGTTACTGTGGTCCAACCCAACGACCGCCCCTCATGTCCTGTTTCCGTGCACCCATCCATCCAATCATTCGTTATCTTCTTCTTCTTGTTGTCCTGTTTATGCCCAATCCACCAGTGTATGTCTCTCTTCTCCGCCTTTGTGTTTTTGTTTTCCTTGCTCCGCTCTCAACCCAAACGCGCGCCAATCCGTTGGCCTGCATTTGCTGCTCATTGCTCTCCAATTGTCTGTTGATCTGTCTGTCGGTTCTGACCTGCCAACCGATTCGTCGTGTTGTTATTGTTGTGTTCAATTGTTTCAATTTGTATTAACTATTTTCTTTGCGGTTTCGTTGTTTTTTTTTCCTTCCTTCCACGCTGCCCACTCACACCGCACAACGCCACCATGTACTTATGCAATCCCCACGTCTCCTCACACACTCTCCCCTCACTTCCCCTCTTTCCTTCCACCACCATCACCACCATCACCACCATCACCGCCATCACCACCAGCACATCTGCCGGTCGGCCACGCTGTCGACGTATGAGGAGATAATGTTCCGCCTGGGCGTGTCCTCTGTGTACGCGTATGCCTCCAAGTACTTCAGCGACAGCATCACCCCCGCCGCCACAGACTTTGAGCACACGGACGTCGACGACGACGACGACGATGGTGATGGCGATGGTGACGATGATTGTGGTGAGCAGGCGCACCTTGGCCAGGATGACGTGCGCGCGTGCGTTGGTGGCAGTGGACTGCGCGGCTGCACAGCCATTGATGCGCACGAAGGAATGGCCGCAAGCACAGACGAGCAGCAGCAGTACGACGACCAGCAGCAGAATGGTGGCAACAGCCGTGCACAAGGAGACGCGCTGACAAGCGCATCCACAGCTGCGGCCACCAGCGAAGTCCACAGCCATAACAATGGCAGCAACAGCAACAGCAGCAGCAGCAGCAGCAGCGGGACGGGGAGCGTGCCATCCACGGAAGCGCCTACCGAGCGCGGCGATGGCGTTGATGTTGATGGCGCTGAGGTGGTAGCCACACTGCACCAGCACTTGACAACAACGACGGTGCACGATGTGCACATTGGCCTGAAGCGCCGCGCCGACGAGCAGAACACCACCGCCATCGAGGATGGAGAGAACAACGACACCACCTGTACTGGCAACGCGCTTGCTGGCGATGATGATCATGATCATGATGGTGGTGATCACGATGACGATGTTGTTGTTGTCGATGGCAGCGCCCACCGCGGCGACGGTGCCGCTGTTGCCGACAGGGAGCAGCGCGAGCTCATGGCGAACATGGCTGCCATTGTGCACGAGAGCGAGGAAGAGGACGAGGAGGAGGCGGTGATTGTCCGCCACACGTCCACCAGCAGTGAGAGCGGCAGCATCACCCCGCGCGGCTTCAGCAGTGCCACAAGCGGCGCACAAACGCCAAATAAGAAGCCAGAGTCAGTTTGTGTTGTGTTGTGCTCTGTTGCGTTGTGGTTGTGGGTGCTGTGGTCGTGGGTGCTGTAGTCGTGGGTGCGTTGGAAGTGTTCTGTCCATTACTCATTTTGCATCTCCTGCATCGCGTGCCCAATGCTGCCATGCGTATCCGCTCACCCCTTCATCATCTCCCGTGTGCGTGTGTGTTCTGACTCGCCTGCCAGGTCTGCCCGGGTGGTGTCGCAGCACCGCAGTGCCGACATCCAACTCCTCGACGCTCTGAGTACGTCCATGGTGACGTGATGGTGGAGGAGGCGTCAGCGGTGAGAATGGGACAAGACTATCCACACACACGCACACACACATACATACATACACACACACACACACCCCGCAGCACAAGGAGAGTGCTCCACAGCGAGTGCTGACACCTTGCATTCGGTGGCGGTTCGGAACCGATGTTGCTGACGCCAAACATCCAATGCACGCGTGCATTCCTTTTTTACTCACTGCACATCATGTTCTCTCAACCTCATCCCATCCTGTGCAGACGTGAAGTGGATCTTTGATCTGATGGTTGAGAACCGCAAGCTCAAGTACCGCTATTACGTCTCCTCCTCAGAGAAGGCCGACGCAGAACGTGAGGGCGCGAGAGAAGCGCAAATGGGGAGTGGGCGGGTGGTTTGGTCTGGAGTACGAGTGTGGCTACCATCGTACGATGTTTGTGTGAGTATGTGATGCGTTGGCGGAAGGGCGATTGCTTGCTCAGGCGCATGATCACAACCTCCACACCCTGGCAACACCACATGAACGCGCATGTGCACACATTTTTGTGTGTATGTGTACTCACATACCGCATGTGCATGTGTACTCACATACCGCATGTGCATGTGTACTCACATACCGCAACCCACTTTCCACCCTTCATCACCACCACCACGAATCCCAGGCCGCTACGACCGGTTCTCGATTGTGGCGGTTCCGTATCCAGGGGTGGAGGATTTTGCCCACTGCGAAGCAGACGAGTTTGACGCCTTTGGAAAGGTCTGGCATGCTTGCATGTGTGTGTATGTGTGTGTGTGTATGTGTGCATGTGTGCATGTGTGCATGTGTGCATGTGTGCATGTGTGCATGTGTGTATGTGTGCATGTGTACATGTGTGTTTGAGCAGAATTGGCATGCAGCTAGCCTTGCATGTGTGGATCGGAACCGCCAACACCATTGATCACGCCTGTCATAAACGCGTGCATGCATGCATGCACTCATGCGCGTGCGTATTTTCATATCAACCACACTCCCACCACTCATCAACCACAACAGCGCATCGACTGGACCAACCCGCGCTTTGATGCGGATGTGTCCATCCCCTATCAGCCGTCCGCGATCAATATCGACTATGAGCAGTATCGCACGTGGAATCTTGGCGAGATCACGGCAAACTACATGAAGCTCCTGGTCCACCTCATCGCAACCGGCACGGGCGAAGGTGTGTGTGATTGTGTGTGTGTGTGTGTGTGTGTGTGTGTGTGTGCACGATTTGTGTTTCATTGGTGTTTGCTTGATGTGTTGCATGTTTGTGTTGCCATACATCTGTATGCATTCCCCTCCCATGTTCACTGCACACCCTCTTGCGCTCATATCACGTGCCCATCATTTCCTCACACCACCCCTCCTACCACTTCATCGCTGCATTTTCATGTCCAGGTCTTCTCCTTCACTGCATCTCCGGCTGGGACCGCACCCCGCTCTTCACGTCTCTCCTGCGCCTCTCTCTCTGGGCGGTGGGTCACTGATGTCTGTGGTGTATGTGCGTGGGTGTGTGTGCGTGGGTGTGTGTATATGTCAACATGTGCCTGCCCTGAGTATGAATGTGTACGCACACCAATTCACCCGCTCACACATCTCTCACCACCCCTACCTCTCAACAATACACACACACACGTCTTCCCATTCCCGTCCCGTATCAACAGGACGGCGTGTCACACGCGTCGCTGTCTGCGGAGGAAGCGCTGTATCTGACGGTGGCGTACGACTGGGTCCTCTTTGGCCACCAGCTCTCCACCCGCCTCTCAAAGCACGAGGCAATCTTCTTCTTCTGCTTCGACTTTCTCCAGGTCTGTGCATGTGTGTGTGTGTGTGCGTGTGTGCATGCGTGTGTGCGTGTGCGTGTGCGTGTGCGTGTGCATTCGTGCGTGCATGTGTGCGTGCATGTGAGCGTGTGTGCATATGTGCGTGCGTGTGTTTATCGTTCATGTGTGCGTACGCACTGTGTCAGTTTGAATTTCGCTCACTACTCCACTCTCCACTCTCCACACCACATACACATACGCACAACACACTGTACAGCACCTTGCTGATGCGGAGTACGCCTGTCCCGGAGCAACAGTGGACGCGTACGTGATATTTGTACTGCCCGTGCAATCTTGTCTCCTTTGGGCGTTTCCCTACTCTGGGGGGTTTCCCGACTCCTTAAATTTGTTTCTTTCTTCCACACGTTAATTGCGGCCCACACGCTCACGACGCACACGCACGACACACACACACACACACACACACACACACACACACACACACACACACACACACACACACACACACACACACACACGCGCGCGCGCGCGCACACATCGCATCCGAATACAGGAGCGAGCGGCATGCGCGGCTGCTGCGCGTGCGGGAGCTGTTCATTGCGTCATACCGCAGCGCGCGAACCAAGCACGAGGAGGTGTTGAAGCAGCAGCGCTGGTTCCCCATGGGCTGGCTCTCCGGCATCCTCTCAAGCATCACTACTTCGAAGCAGTGACACACAACAGCGCACCAGCTGCAAAGTCGGCACACGGACACACACACACACACACGCACAGACACACACACACAGACACACACAGACACAGACACACAGACACAGACACAGACACAGACAGACACAGACACAGACACAGACACAGACACACACACACACACACACACACACACACACACACACACACACACACACACACACACACACCCCGAGACCTACACCTGACCAGTGCGTGCTCAGCTTGGCTGATGAACCTGTCGTTTCCGTGGACAGCACCTTGATTTATTGATCACTTCACATCACTGGGTTCAGTGATTGGAGTGAGGAGGGGGAGGTGGGGGAGATGGAGTTGATGGCGCAACATGTGTCTTTTTTGCGCTCGTTGTTCGGTCCGTATTCTTTCATTTTCATTTTTTTCGTTTTGGTGCATGTTCTCTCTGTGCCTGTTTCCGTATCTGCCTCTGTCTCTGTTTGACTGACTGACTGATTGACTGTCGCTTTTTCTTTTCACGTCGTGCATGTGACGTGTGTTCTCTGCACGCATGTGCGTGACCACTGGGAGGGGGGAAGACTGGCTCTTACTGCTGTTGATGATGGCGTGGCGCTGGATGAAGGGGAGAACTGCAACATGTGCAACATATGTGTGTATGTGGCAGGCACGTGCATGGCCTCTTCGGTTGCTCCTCCTTGTGCCTATGCCGATGCGATTGGCATGGAGCATGCGTGCTTTGACAGTCTTTATGTTGATGCCTGCAGGCAAATTGTTGTTGTGCATCAACTCTGTGTCTCTCTGCATCAACTGCACACGACTCGTACACGCTCTTCCCTCAGCAACACGCTCCCGCTCTGTGTCGCTGTCGTTCCTGTTTCGTTCTTGGTTCATTCTTGTCTCATTTTTGTTTTGGTTGGTTACTTTTGGGTGCACTTGCATCCCGCCAACACCTCTTGGTGTTTAGTTACCGTGCGCCCATCTTCGTACCTGCCCACGCACACATGTGTGCACATGTACACGCGTTTCGCTCGCGCTACATTCATCCGCGCGTGTGT